CCCCAGCAATGCCCGCCTCCGAGGCCGTCCTGCAGCCATCCCCCAGCAAGAGGCAGAAGGGCTCGGTGCCTGCGGAGCCCACCGCACGGCTCCGCTTCACTAAGCTGTCCGAGAACGCCTCCGCCCCCTCCAGGGGCTCTGCTGGGGCTGCGGGCTACGATCTGTACAGGTGAGTGTACCCCACCCGCGGGAGGAGCCCACCCCACGTCCCGGTCCGGCCCGTTTCCTCTCAGGGAGAGGCGCTGCCCCCCTGCTCGATGAGCCCCTTCTCGGGGCTCCGGCGGCTGAGAGGGCCCCCGTGAGGCAGGTCGTCTTGCTGAGCAGAGCCCCCCCGGGAAGGCTCGCCGGCCTTGCAAAAGAGGAGGTCAGGGCTGGCCTGTTCGTTAGCTTCTTTCCTCCTCCACCCCTCTCCCTTCATTTCTAGAGATCTGTGGTCCAGTCATGCTGCAGCACCGATTTTGTTAGGTAGCGATGCAGCCATTGGCCAAAAGTCAGGCTTGACACGTTGGCCTGAGTTGCTGTTGGCGCCAGCATTGACTATGTGCCTTCCTATTGGAAGAATCAAAAGGTAGTGCATGTGGCCCCTTCCTGCCAGCACGTATGCTTTTCTGCTTTCATCTTGGCTGTTGGGTACTGCCTGCCAAAGGAAGCTGAGGCAGTTTGATAATGCTCCTAGCTGGAAACCATCTTGGTTGCTGTACAGACTTAGGTTTTGCTTTGCTTGAACTGGTAATAACCATTGTTCAAAGGTTTTCACCGTGTTGAGGAATAGCTGCAGCTAGTCTTGTAGTTGTTTGCATAGTGCTTCTGTGATCAAATACACTCACTAATTATATCTGAACTCCACTGCAACCTCCTCTACCTTCCCTTATTTACCGTTACTTAGAATAATCAGTCTTTTTCTCACTTCACCTATCTGACTTCCTTCCTGAAGCTTTGCTTCACCACATTTGACACTTTTCCTTTGTATTCCTTTTGTCTTACCAGGTTTGCTTTTTGTTCTTGTTCCAATGGTGCACTGTACACCTGGAAAAAGTCCATTTCACAAAAAAACTTTTGGTGCTTCCCAGTGTTTAAGAATCAGTTCATCATCAAGGCCAAGATATGCTTGCCTTAAACAAGTAGAACAGTCTCACTGTCATATTGTCACCACTGCCTTTCATTAAACCTCTAGTTAGGTAGCTTCCGAAAGTTATTAAAAATCTCTTTGATTCTGTTGGGAACTGCAAATTATGTGAACTGTGAAATTCCAGCCTGCTCAGAAAAAAAATTGTTGCCTAAAATGTAATGTAATAGATTATTATTTTTGATTACAACTAGTTCATCTGCTGTAGAAAGCTTAATCAGAAGAGTGTATTATCCTTAAAGTTTCTGCTTTTGCACAAAAATTGCATAACCCCATTCACCTAATGGTTAATTTAAAGTTAAACTTGTATTTTTTGTCTCTCTTACCAGTTAAAAAAAGGTTTAAAACTAGCAGTCTTAAGACTATGCTGTTCAAATGACACTACTGAAATCTTAAGTTAGCACCATCAAAATGGGAATATCTTGTGGTTTAGGATCTGCATTAGATTTTGCAAATCTGTAAATATTTCTTGTATAAATTCCAGGGTATAAATTCCCAGCGAGAATAATTCTGGGTAATTTTGTACCTTAAGTTACAGAGAAGAAAATTTTCAAAATATTCTATATCAACTAGTGTTTTCTTTCTTTAATGTAGTGCCTATGACTGTGTGATACCACCCATGGAAAAGGCTGTAGTGAAAACAGACATTCAAATAGCACTTCCTTCTGGATGCTATGGCCGAGTAGGTAAGTGAACAGGCTATAAGAAGACTGCAGAGTCACTGTAGACCAGGTTTGACATCATCTTCACATTTAGATTCTGCCTAAAGCTTTCAGAATTAGTCTACACAAAAAAAGAGCTGTCACATGGCTGTGTAATTTACTAAGCCTTGTAATAGACATTTCTTGTCAAATAAATACCTTTGAGGTTTGGTGTATGTCAAATGACAAAAAGGTGATTAGCACAACTTTTCATAATCTACATACAACTTTATAGGCTATGCAATAGTTCATTATTTCTCTGCAGTTTCAGAATTTGAATCACAAAGACCAGTTGGCAGTGGACATACTGAAAATACACCCCTGGTTGTTTAAAAATTATCGCTGAAGTATGAGTAGTAGTTTAATAGAATTGAACTACTTTTTGTGACACAATAGCTGAGAGAATTTGTACAAGATATTTTGTTGTGGTTTACCCCCAGCCAGCAACTAAGCACCATGCAGCCGCTCACTCACTCTGCCCCACCCGCCCCCCGAGTGGGACTGCGAGAGAATCAGAAAAAAAGTAAAACTCATGGGTTGAGATAAGAATGGTTTAATAGAACAGAAAAGGAGAAACTAATAATTACAATTACTACACTAATAAAATGACAATAGAAATAATGATTGGAATATATACAAGTGATGCACAATGCAATTGCTCACCACCCACCGACTGACGCCCAGTTAGTCCCAGAATGGTGACCCCCCCAGCCCCACTCCCCCCAGTTTATATACTAGACATGACATCACATGGTATGAAATATCCCTTTGGCCAGTTTGGGTCAGGTGTCCTGGCTGTGTCCCTCTCAGCTTCTTGTGCCCCTCCAGCCTTCTTGCTGGCTGGGCATGAGAAGCTGAAAAATCCTTGACTTTAGTCTAAACATTACTTAGCAACAACTGAAAACATCAGTGTTATCAACGTTCTTCTCATACCCAACTCAAAACATAGCACTATACCAGCTACTAGGAAGACAGTTAACTCCATCCCAGCTGAAACCAAGACATTTATGTTTTGTGCATTCTTTTTCGGAATTATGTATAAATTCTTAAAAGTAAAAAAAGCAATAGCTGCTCTAGTGGAAGAGTGTGATCAGAGTTTGCTGTGTTCTTTAATCTAAAAGGAGAATGTGTGTGCATTTCTCTTATCTCAGACAAAAAAACTTTCGGACAAGAGTTAACATTTTAGCACCTCAAAGTAAGCTAAGGTAAGTAAAAAAAAAAAACAACCATGCACATAATTTAATTCATCTGTGTATAATATTTCATAGTAAATTGCTTGCCAAATATTGTTTTCCATCATAACTTGAATGGATTGACCTGATAGTCTTTTGAGATTATTCCAAACCAGTAGCTGCCAAAAATAAGCCAAGATTAGATAGTTGGTATCTGCTCCAGCTGCCTTCCTTGGAAAAACCCACTCTGCATTTGGTGGTCTAAACAAAGATATGCTTATATCACTTAAAAATTGCAATTTTATTGTAGCCTGTAGCAGCTGTTATTTTGTATAATATGTGCGTTAACACAGTAGGTCCTGTAAAATCATGTTTATTTTAGAAAGACTGTGGAAACAGTTCTTGCTGCCACGACTGTGCAGAAACACTATATAACTTATAATTACTGTGTAAGAGTTTTAAAAGAAATATACTTACAAAAAAAAATTCTTTTTTTCTAGCACCACGTTCTGGTTTAGCTGCAAAACACTTCATAGATGTTGGTGGTAAGATTTTTGTTCTTTTTAGTAAGACTTTTTAAATCTTGATGGCAGAATTGCCTTAATTTCACATTGTAATATGTGTAAATAAATAATGCTAGCATCATTGGTAGTCTGGCAAAAGGAGATAACTGGGTAACACCTCGGAGAGCCAGTGCATCATAATTATTTTAAAACCTGCTGAATTATGAAAATATTACTGATTTTTTTTTTACGTAATAACCATATCGGTTTTTTGTAGGCAATGCCTGGCATAGAAGTTTGGGGTTTTTTTGGTTTAGGCTTTCAGATGACTTTTTACATTCTCCTTTCTCCATTTTGACTAAACATCTGTGTGTGGTTCTTTTCAGTCTAGTGCAAGATCTGAATGAATTAAATCAGTAACATTTTAGATAGTCTTCTATGCAGAGAATATATAGTAATGATATTGAAAAGGAATGATAAAAAGCACTGGAATACACCATTGCTGTGGGCAGAATTGATTATTAGGATGAAAAGAGCTTTAGTTTACTCTTACTGATGAAAATGTAACAAATTACATAAAGCAAATGAAATTTAAACTAACTGTAGATTAATTGACTTAAAAATTGAAAGTCTTTTGAAACAAAACTAAAATCCCACTTTCTACAAGTCTTCACTGCTTGTTTTGTTCAGAACTAGCAACAGATTTATTTTGAACAAGAGGATGGTTTATTAAAATATTATGAGCTTTTCTTTAATCTTGATTAGAAATTCACAGATATCTCTTCAAAAACAGTTATTATAGGCATAGCTATAATCAGAAGCCTTCATGAAAGCCTCACCGTCCTTTTGCTATGTCCCTATAACTGCAACACAAAGTAAATGGTGTTGAAAGTTCAGTTCCAGTTTTGCAGTGGGACTGATGAGAGCACAGGCAGATTCTCTATGTGTTGTATTACAACATGGCATCTACATTGCACAGAAGTTCTCACCGCTAAGATTATTGCGGAGTCACTCTGGGCACAGCTGTAACCACAGTGATTTAACTAGTAGTAAATCTGTATTGCGTTGTTCTAATTATACAAGGATACAGTTCTAAGTTAAATAAAATGTTTTGAAAAGCATGCTGAGAAGTTGAGGCCTTTTCCTCTTCACTAGGTTTTTGGGTTTTGGGGGTGGCAGGGGTTGTTGGTTTGTTGTTCGGGTCTGGTGTCATCCCCCCACACCCCAGTGTTAAACAAGATAGACTACTTGGAACACTGGTACTCAGCCTTTACTTGCTCATAGGCTTGGCTCTAGAGCTGGGGAAGGGTGACTCTAGGCATCCTTCGCTTTCTGATGCCACACCAGCCAAAAAGCAAGGCAGTTCCCAGTGTAATTTAGAGCTGCTGCAGAACTACTTTATTCTATCTGCCTTATGGCATATCAAAGTCTGCCTGTGCCTTTGATACAGTTTTGGTATCAGAGGTTAAAGGGGAGCATCTGTGCGAGCTTTGTGTCATTGAGGCTTTGTCTTAAGAATTTGTTCTTGTACATCTGTTACACTAAGGTTTTTTAAGTGTTGCTGTGTAACATACAAAAGAGCACTAAGATGGGAGTCACAGATTCTCTACACCCCTATAATTCTCTGTAGTATACATGGGCTACTATAGCGTGGTTCTTTAAAGTGACACCTTTAGAACAATTTTTCTTTGTTTATATGAAATAATGCACATGCTCTGTAACAGTCTTTTCAATCTGAAAGTTAAACTAGGAAATACCAGAAGGCAACCAGAAGCGCTTAGCGGGATGACCTATTTAAAAGAGCTGACAGTTGACAAATCATGAGTAAAAAAATATTGCTGACAATTAGTGGAGGACTTCTTAGTCACAAAAACCCAAGCAAACAAAAAAACCCACCACCACCCCCAAACAAACAAACAAACAAAGAAACCAAACCAAAACCCAAAACAAAACTAAAACAATTGTTGCATAATTTTAACTTGTCCTGCGGAAGTACTTTTGTCACAATGAGGGCATTATCCATTTAAGTAAAAATACACTGCCAGAAGTCCTAAGGGTCAGAGAGAAAAATTAGGGTCATGCAAGAATATGTTCAGAATTCACATCTGCTAGGTGTGGATGCTTTCCCAACAAATGACATACCAGACTTCTGACAGACAGAATGTCAGACTGCCAATTCCAATGCATGATTTTTTCAAAAATGATGTAGATGATTTCCACCCAATACACATAATTTAGAAAAGTGCCTTAGTCCTCAGCATAATTATAATTATTGCAACTTGCTGTTCCAGAATAACAGAATGCTAAGGATGTTAGTGTGTTTTGCCAGTATGCCCAGTTACACAGAGTGAATTTGTCACCCTGTACAGAAGGAAAACTGATCAGGTTATCCTGGGTCATATTTTCCTGTATCTTCCAAGGATCATATATTCTTTGATACAAATAGTGTAGTTTGAACTTAAAATCCACCTGGTGGTTAAACTCAGTAAGACTATGTCAGAGGAGGTACAATACATTTAAAAAGAAAATGATTGGTAGGGAATTCATTTCACAAAATCTTTACCCATCTGTGCCTTTAACGGAATTTGAAATCGTCATGGCTTTGACAGTGTTTTCAGTCACTCAGCACAGCATTAGAGTAATTGTTCTGGCCACAAAACATTTTAAAATGTTATCTTCTTAATAGATAACTTCAACTCTAATTGCAAGTTCTGTTTGTAGTGGATATGCTTTTAAGGAAGAAGCCTGCTCTTCCTCTCTGCATCCTCTGGAAAGCTTTCCTCCTCAGAAGTGAGCAGGAAGTGCAATTCTTGCCTGCTAGAAAATACATCTGATACAGTCTGTAGAACCATTACAAGGTGTTTACTTTATAGCTAAGCTTTGAAAATTAGAGTGGTTTTGTGAGAGGGTTTTTTTTCCCCCTCTAGTGAATAATACAAGTGACTTAAGTTTTCAGTGTTGCTGACTTCCATTCAGCCACAGAAATATTAATCAGTCCTATCTTTAGTTATCAGACATTTTTCAAATCCTAGAGAGCCAGTGTCTGGCAGTAGTCAAATAGGTGGTCAAAAGAATTTAGTATCTCTTCATAGAAGTATCTGTTTAGATGACAGCCTTTTCAACAAATACTTGTAAAATAAATTTTAGTGTCTATACATAAAGCTGAGATTGTGCCAATGCCATTGTTTAAAGGTCAGGTAAGCCATCTGACCAAGTTAATTGTAAATCAGTATAGATCCATTATAACACTCCTTTTCAGAAAAAAAAAAGTTTGGGGTTTAAAAAAGTGTAGAAGTACTAACGTGCCATTAAGCTCTAGTTACTCCAATACAAGCTAAGTTTTAGATTTTATTTTTTTTTCCTTCTCTCCCAGAAAATAGCAGCAATGTCTGGTAGATCAAAAAACTTCATTAGCAGTTAAGCACTAACTAATACACTGAGTACAATTTTTGTCATTATGTAGAAATAAACTTGCTTTCTGTCAGAGGCATGAAGGCAGAAAAGTTAATTTAGAATGACTTTAAGTAGCCTCAGTTGTTCTGTTCTATACATTTTCTTCAGATACTTCTAGCAAAAACGTGACATGCAAGAGTTTCTTGCATGTATAAATCTAACCATAGTACTTTAATTGGTACATTTTATACATATAAAAGCATAATCTCCATTTAAATAGAATTAGTAATCTGTAGTAATCAGTTCTGACTATTGTGTTACACCAGAGCAAAATACTCTTTTATAACAGAAATAAAACTAGCCCTCATTATGTTAAGTTAGCAAATTCCTTTATCAATCTCTAATGCATAGCAATATCTATCCCAGCATATGGTCTAGAAAAATGTTGTCTTAGCTGTACAGGAACACTTGAGAATGGATAAATTCTTAATTTGACAAACCAAAGAGCTAATGATCTTTTTATATGCATTTATGAGCATATGTACATAATTTTATGTGCCAAATATGAATTCTGGCTTTCAGCTGATCGACTTGTGAACAATACACCAAATTAGTGGGCAACTGACTGCAGAACTTGAGTGATACTTAAAATTATTTTTGCTGCCATTACACATTTGTTGAATGTCTCTTTGTAATGCATCTATGTAGCATGGACTCAGTGTCCACTATTGTATAAAACAAAGCAGATTATTTGTGTAGCACTTTTTAGCTAACGCTTTGTGTCACCCCTGGTTTAGCAATTATGTAAGGGCTCTAGATTATCTGTTATTTTAAAAAGGAGGAAGGAATAGTACTTTGCTAGAAGTAAGAAGGCAAAAGTTTCTTGTTACTATTTTATAGTTCAGCCTTTTTTGCTCATATACTTGAAACGTGCATAGAATTTGACTTTTAATATTTTAAGTATTGAATTGCAACATTGAACTGTGGTGGAAATTGTGCAAGAAAGCTCTGATCACCAATATAAGTGATGTACTGCGATTCTCAATTTAACTGATGCGTAGTTAACTTTCTGAAAGCTGGTCTAACCTAAACCAAATAAACAGTACAAGACCTGTGCATGTAGCTTTGGTATATCAAGCTCTCTGAATCAACTGAACTGAATGCTACATTCAAGAATTTTTTTAATAATTTTTTTCATTCTGGAAAACATTAATGCATAGCAACCCCTATGTTTTGTTCACTGTTACTTTTGATAGTGCTCTGTAGTTAGGGTCCCTTTAAGCAATTGCATGCAGTTAAATACTAGTGAGTTAACTTGAGAACTGCACGTTTTTCTGAATTTTCAGAGCTCAGGGGATACTCCCAGTGTTACTAACACCTTAATTAGGAAGCTGTTCAGAAACGTGACTGGATTAACACAGAACATTACAAGGGAAAGAGAGCTGTATAAATACCTTTTTCACACTAGAACTAGTACAGAGATTGTACAGTAACTGTGGACCATATCTACTGCAATATTTTCACACAGCTGAAGAAACTAAGAAAAAACCCCTCAGTTTTCTATTCTTAAGTGTGTATGTTGTGGTTCAACATTAAAAAACTTCAAGGTATAGTCATACTACAATTTCTTCTGGTGGTTATAATCTCTAAAGGTAGTACTCTGTATGTATGATTCTGGGAATGTCTTGGAATTACATGCAATTTTAGTATTTTAAGTAGGCTTCAAAATACATACTTTGGTCCACAAGGAAGCCCAAACTCCAGTTTTTCTACTGGAAATATGCTTCCTGTATCTGAAAGAAAACCCCCAAAGAAGCAGAATATGATTGTTTTAATGTGTATTGGTAGATAATCTCCTGAACTATGCAGTTAATGCAGTTATATAAAATACAAGAGCAAGCTTATTTTACAGTATTTATTTACACTTGAATGTAGCTGAATGATTATTAATTCCTTAAAGCTTTAGTTCTGTTGCCCTGCCTGAGATACGGGATTTGGATCTGTGCAAATCCATAGCTCTCAAATAAAATGTTAGAGTTAAGAACAGATTTCTGCTTTACACTGAAAGAGCTGAAGTTAACAGAACAAATGGAGCCTGAATTTGGTCCAGCTGTCTTGATTTCAGGTATGGTATTACAATTAAAATGAGTAGTACAGTGGTAAAACACTTCTTGATATGTGATGGTGTTTTTCAGTTCTTTTTGCAAAATTGATAAGCATATTTAGATATTTCAGTATTTTCATATATATTGTTTAACTGCATGAGTAGCGTAAAGGATGTCAATATGAGATACTGCAATCATCTACTAATCTAAACCTTATCTAATCTACTTATCTAATATACTGACAACATTTAGTAACTGGGCATCCTCTTAATTCTTTCTTACGACAGCTGGTGTTATTGATGAGGATTACAGAGGAAATGTTGGTGTCGTACTCTTCAACTTTGGCAAGGAGACTTTTGAAGGTAATTGTTAAGCTTGGCAGAGCCTGTTTTCAGCCAACTGGCTGGAAATGAGACACTGATTGTTCTTTAAGTCTATGAAGAGTTAGAATTAGCTGAGAACATTCTTTTTACAATTAACAAAAACATGGAAACTTAACAATGTCCTGTCAAGGAAACACGAAAAGATTCCACTCCTAGAAAATCAGGTAGCATGCAAAAAAAAAAAAAAAAAAAAAAAATCAAAACCACAACCACACACACAAAAAAAAACCCAAAACACACCACCACCACAAAACCAAACCAACCCAACTTAGCTAAGCTTTAGAATCCTAAGCTGTACTGAAGCACAACTTAATACAAAGTTTCTTTCTTGTTAGCTGAGCAATATTTGAGATAAAAACTTCTCCAGGATCCTGGGAAACTTGAGTAATAAAGATACAATTTTCCCTTAATCATGCTGTCTGTCTGCAAATCGTCAGTTTTAAGCCTCAGGGTCCAGTTACGATATTGCCAGTGTTTTGCAGCCTATTCTGCAACTTCATGGCACAAGCAACTTATGGAAGTTCTGTGAACCAGACTGGGTACTAATCAGAAATTTGTTTTCCTCCTTTAATCAGTTTGGGTTTTTTTTTTCCCCTCCAGAGAAGTCAGTTCCTCGGTCTAGTTCACAAAAGGAGCCAGTTATACATACAGCTCTCTCTCTCCATCTCTGCAGTATTTATGCGTAATGACACTCAAGATGCCACAGTATGGCAGCAGGAATGAAGGGAGATGCCTTGAGCTGGTACTGCTGCTGAAGCTTCACCTTAAAAGGACTAGGCACGAGTTTATCTTAGCCTGTATTTTTCTGGGACTATTAACATCTGCTTAACTAAGTTTCAAATAAGTGTTTATACTTTAGTACATTCCGATACTCTTGAAAGGGCATTGTCTAAACTATGTATTGATTGTTCACTTTTTTTGAAGTAACTAATAATATTTTAACTTCATTGCAGTTAAAAAAGGGGATAGGATTGCCCAGCTCATCTGTGAACGCATTTGCTATCCTGAGCTAGAAGAAGTTCAAGTAAGTTGCCAAGAGAAAATATTTCTGCTATTTTCAATAATTAATAGTTTAAGATAGTTGTATGTAAGCTGAAATTTATGCTATAGATAAATACTTTGCTTTAAAACTACTTTCAGTGTTAAAACTGCATAGTAGCATTGCTACCTGATTAAAAATCTTGATGCTTTGCATGCATTTACATGGATTGGGGTTTTTTTGTAGTTTTCAGAGTTAACAGGTTGTTTTGGGTTTGTGTATGACAGAGGTACTTGAGAAACACTTCAGTATATACTAGAAACAGTCGTCTCACAATGTGGGATTTGTTTAAACTTGTACAGAAGGTATTCTAAAGTGTCTCAAAAATTTTTGGTTTAGTTTCTCAATTATAGCTATAGTTACGAGTAAATGTACTTTCCTCTATGATGGACAATATCAGTTGTATAGAAACAAAAGGCAAGTCAAGACACTAAACTAACTTATCATAATTGATGTCTTTCAGACTCTAGATGATACAGAACGTGGCGAAGGTGGCTTTGGTTCTACTGGAAAGAACTGAAAATGATTTGAATATGCTTTCTGGTTTTGACTTTTTTTTATGGTATTTGTAAGTTTTCATTTGAATTAGAAGTGGGATTTTAGAGTACATTAAAAAAAAAAAGTTTTATTCAAACTTCTCTGTATCTGTCCTGTCTATTTTTACAGGCAGTGAATTCATCTGTATTATGGGGAAATATGCATGACTGACTTGATTGATTGATTAGTTGATGGATTATTTTTTCTTTTTAGATGTTCAGTCCTCAGTAATAAGAACTCGTTGTTTATGTGCTGATTATACTCTAATAAATTAAAAAATAACTTAATGATTTGATTTTACTCACCTAAACTAAAATGGCTGATTTTTCCCTTGCCAGTTTGTGTTAATCTTCGGAAAGCTATCTTCTGTGTAGCTCAGTACTTCATGCTGAGAGCCTATTTCATACAGAATCGGTGATAATACAGGTATTGATATGACTTCCCACTCTGACTCCTAAATCAGAATAAGGCAAAGATATTTAGTATTGCATCTTCTACAGTCTGTCAAAATACTTGTGTTTTTGTTCAGAGCTAAAGTTCTGCCTTTGATCCTTAACTGATCCTCAAACAGCCAATTTTTCAGCTCTCTATTAAAAGAGCAGGCAATACAGTGTTTGAGCTAAATAACACAACTCATCTGGAAATGACTTCTATATAGCAAAAAAATGCTATGAAACATGCCGTTGAAATATTTGTTGACAAATTCATTGCTAAGTTACTGTATGGAAGAAAGGTTCTGAATTATTGAAGCAGTACATGAATTTTTTTTTTTTCAATTCTATTTTGACCAGTTAACATAGAACTCTTTTGGAATCTGTCCCAAACCTGATTGTTTCTTGAAGTATAGGAATCTCTTAAATGACTCAGAAGCTTTCAGGTGAAAGAACATGCATACAAGAGAAGGGACAAAAAGGAAAGAATCTAGAGTATTTTGCCACTTTACAGAAAAGAATTAGAAAAGGCTGTGAGGCTCTCAAAAATTGTGGTTTTTTCCTGCAGCTGTCTGTATTCTCTTTCAAGATTTTCTTAGCTAAAAGGTCACAGGTATGAAATACTGTGCTTTAAGTAGTGTTACAGCAGTGGAAAGGTAGGCCCTCTTGCAGACTAAGATGTTTGCAGCATTCTTCTCCTTTTAAGTCTCAGATCATAGTAATCCTGTTGGTATTTGTTTCATGTCCTTGTCTAGGACTAACCATTTCCAGTGCAGTAGGCCCAAAATATTGCACATCTTACACAGTTTACCCCCCGCTTCCCCAAGGACCTGGACAATAAAGTGTAACACGACAGCATTCAGATTACTCAACTATAGGGTAGTCATTACATTGACTTGGCAGTGCTGAAACAGTAAGTACATTCATCTTGACTAGGGTAGAAGTCTTTCCCTCCATGTGCGTTATATGTTTATCAGTCTTCCCCCCCCACCGTTATCACAACACTGTACTTATATCTGTATACCCAGACCTTCACAAGCAGGCTTACCATGCAAAAGCCTATTGTAAGCAAGCAGCACATCATACCAATGAAGTTTTAAATTAATTGGAAAAGCTGATCTTGACACTAAGTTTCTTCCGTTCTACAACCTGCCAAAAAGGAACTTCAATTACCAAAGGCTATTTAAAGGTCTTAAAATAACTATGATTCTTTTGTGTAAAGCTGTTTCCTCTTCCTGCACTGTAAGTTGAGAGCAAGTTTTGCTGCTCCTTTTTTCTTCCCTCCCCCCGTCCAAAGCAAAAAAACCAGCAGGGGATACACAGATGAAAGTCCTTTTTAAAAGATACTACAAGATGATCTCACTTGGAACAGCAACCTACAAGGAAAAAGTTTTAAGTTTTGCTGATATTTATCATCTGTTGTACATGTTGGAAACTGATGTATTTTCCATTTTTTAAAGTAATACTAATACTCCAGATTCTGAGATAAAAAGGAATAGCATTTGCTAGAAAAAAGCACTCTCTCAGATGGATGCATGAGTAAGGAACAAATTTACAAATCCGTGGCTGCTGTAAGCTGTCAACATACAGACTCCTATCTAAGCGTCATCAGCAAAAAGGGCTCACTTATTTTGAAAATTGGTATAGTTGAGTTCCTTTTTATCATTTCTCAATACTTATCTAGAGAAGCATGTAATGAGTTTCAGATTACTGCAAGGCTCATCCCAGGAGGACCTTGGAAAAGTCTGTCCATCTGAAACAATGGAAATGCTTTCAAGCTCACCTCTACACTAAACTCCTCCCTGTGCATCAAACCATTGCAGCATTGCAGTAGGGTAACAAATTCTGATAATTCCTTTTGGAGTTTTGCTTCAATATGAGTAGCAAATCTATAGAAGACAAATACTTCTAACCAGGCAACAAGAGTTACATATCAATTTATTGAAAGTTCTTAAGCTGATGCTTGCTACTGCAGACCAGGGCCTATATTGAAACCTGTAGAAACTTTCTGTGTTGGTAGTGAGCAGAGAATTCTTACAACATTGTTTGCTACTTTCTGCTTCAGACCATGCTGCCTACATCTCTTCTCTGTTTGTTTGGTGTTGGGTTTTTGGTTTGGTTTTTTTTAGAGAAAGTCCCACAATTTTATTAATATGAAAAGCAATACCCTCCAAATTATTTTAATGTTCCCTTTTTCCATTATTACCATCTATGCTAAAAGAGTATTTTATCTTGGTATCTGGCAAACACACAGGAGGCACAGAACAGTATCTGTTGCCGAAGCTAGTTTTTAACTTCCTCTGGCTCTTACTCATAAAACTCACCCTCTCCCTGTAAGCAAGTGGAAGGAAATAGACTGGCACTTCTTCAGCAAGGTTTAAATTTCCCTCTTTATAATGGTACATTTTAAGCTTTAATTAGCAAATTTGATCCTGTTTTAAACAAAAACCAGGATGTTTGAAAGAGAGGACTGGGAAACACATTGATCTACTTCATTGCTTTATCTGAGATCTATCCTTCTGCCTAAATTAACTAGTTGTAAATTATTTTTGTAATTCAATGAAAAAAATGGTTAAGTGTATCATTAACTGAACGCCATGCTTGAGCAAGTAACTTCGTGAGAAGCTAGACACTGACATGCATAGGTCTTAAATCTAGACAGATTCATGTCTTCAGAACCTGTCACTGAGGTGTGATTCCCTAGGGCTCACTATAGCTATGAAACTCAAGAGATCTAAAGCACCAAAGCAAGTCCAAAGTATAATGCTATTTGCAAAAAAATTAAATGAAAATTACATTAAATAAAAGTGATGTTGCGCTGCTCTCCATTATCACTGAACAGGTTCAGACAAATCTATTTAAGTTTAGACTGTCAACTACTGTTGTAGAAGGGACACATTATCTCCAAGAGGAGTTACCTAAAGCTTGGGGAATCATCCTCTGTATAAATGGAACATGGAGCTTTATAATGGAAAATAATTTGGGGGGAATTCTTATCTATAAGACAAAATGGCCTTTTCCTGCAGGGAAAGGAAAAGGACATTACTAACTAACAATCTGCCTCCTTTCTTTTAGGAATGGATTTGACTTGTTACAAATAGAGAGAAAATCTGGCCTTCAGCCCCAGGTGAATTTGGAAGAGAATGTTAACTTTTGAATTCAGATGCTTGGCTCCAAATTAAGCCCCACGGTTTGGGTTCTGTTTTCTAATTTGGACTGAAATACATATAACAATTTGTATTTCCTTACCAAGGCAGAAGTTGATAAGCTGATGAGGGTCTTGATGAAACAGGTCATCACTAGACAATTCCTACCATTTGAACTCTCCACTTACAGACAAAAATCTTAAAAGAAAAATTATGGTAATGATGCCATTGATCTTTAGTCCTTTTCTTGGTTCCCCAAAGTATTAACCTGGTCTTTAGTGGTTATGAATTTAAGCACTGCTTCCTCAGTTCAGCTACAGTTATATTACTCTGTGGCATGTTAAGAATTTTTTGGATGTATTTAACGTTTTTTAGTAGATCAGCCACTAGATGGCACTTAAAGCTTGCTTTTTTCCCCCACTTTTTTCCAGAGGTATTTTGCAAAGATCTGTTCATCTATAATTAAGAGTTGATGACTCCCATTGGGACTATGTTGGCGGAAAGCAAGATGCAGCAATATTTGAGTGAAAGCAGGCAAAAGTATAACCATTAAAGGGGGAACAATGACTATAATTTAAATAAGATTTGGGTGGTTGCAGTGTTTGCATAATCCCTCCTGGCATGCAAGAGCAATAGAGAAGCCTGTGGCTTTGCTCTCCTGCTGTGTTTCAACAAAAATGGAAAATTGTAATGAACAGCAACGTTTTTCCTATCTTTCATATTCACTCTCTTCTTACTCCCCCTTCCTCCATTCCTTTACGTGGAATGCAGTCTACTTAAGGATTGCATTGTAATGAAAGTAGTGTGTAGCTTGGTAAACTCTGCATTGGATTCTCCAAATCGGATGCCTCTTGCTGCAGGTTCAGGACATACATTAAAACTTATTTAATACATGTTAACCCAGTAAAGGCAGCTGACATATAGTGACCTGAATTATGTGAATTTTTATTAAGGTTCCCTAGTTTCTGTATTGGTTGCTACTCCTGCAATAGTGCAGTCTGGTGCTCTTGTATTTGTCTTCCCTTCCCCCCCCCCGCCCCCTTCTAATTTTTTTTTCTTTTTTTAAATAAATATCATTGTATTTTGGCTTAAAGATAGTTAAATAAGTTTCAGTATTAAGTAAACTTCTATGACCCTGCCTATTTCCTGTCCTGTCAAACCTTTCCTTGTAAGAATAACAGTGTCCTTTTATTTGGTGGAGTGTAGCATGATGTTTTTGGCAGGCCCAACATTTTTGACTTGCATAAATTTGTGACCTCAAGTGCAAGAGAAGTGAATGCTTGCTTCAGTGCCTCATGGTTTCTGCCTAAAAAGAAAAGCGTCCACATCGCTAACCATTACAATTTCTGAAGGAAAATTATCAGCACACTTATTCCAGCTGATTGCACATGACTGCACTTCCAAAGAAAAGAATCAGAAATAAAACTAAGAAGTACTTTGCACCTAGTTATGTAAGGTACCAAAAGTCTGAAAATATAGGGCAGGCTGTACTGCCTTACTGGTTTCTAGAATTGGCACACATGGCACTTCCCTCACTAACAGCTATTTGGCAATCTCTACCTCAGTAAGGATGTGATTCTGCAAAGTGTGTCTGCTGCTGGGCAAAGAATGTCATTGTATGGTTAAAGGTTGCAGGATCAGGTCAGAAGTGAATTAACGTAATTATTTTCCTAAACTTTCCCTCCATTAACCATGTGGTGGTTCAGGTCTTTA